AGGGCAGAAATAAAATATGTACGGACTTACACAGTATATACAACAAAAATAGAAACGCTAGGTATGAGATGACAAAAACGCATGAGAAGCGTATAAGATAATAATTGTTTCCCCGTTACCAATTTCTGATGTTTCGTCTTATAGGCAAGCAATTACGTATAAATAATTGAAGTCTTAGAAATGACGTACAATATGATAAAACACGAAGTTATACATTTTGAGATCTTTGGGGTAAGAAAAAATGGCGGTGGCAAGCTCATGTAACGCTATACTATTTGGGAACTTACGTAACGGTTCATCGTTAGAGCTGCATATCATTCTAGACACCACCAGATGTTAAACGAAACGAATAACCAACCAACCAGTCGCGAATGTGCGCAAATGTCACCCATGAATCTTTCTAAACTCACCGTCCCAGCGCTCCCATCCCTCCTCTATACCAGTATAAATTGAGGTTCCAATATTTCGCCGTACGTAGTCGATAGTGAAAGGAAATCAATCTATGAGATAGTCTATGAGAGTGCTTTCTGCACATTTTCTATGTTTTTATTACGTACTCTGTTTAAGTTGAGACGCACTACCCCTCTTTCAAAGCGTTAGGATTTTTAGCGACCATAAAACAACGAAACTTTGCATGGTGGACTACTTTTGCGGTGGTAGGGCAACGCAACCCTGTTGCACGAATGGGCTGGTCCGTCCGGGTTAGTACCACGACCTCACAGAAGACCGGCGTAAAGTAGAAGTGTTACACGTCTGCGTTTCGTTTGGTGAGTGAGGTAGCCGGGGCCCACTTTATTTAAAGGTGGTAATTCATTTGCAACCCTACGAGTGTTGCAGATTTCTATGGGCAGCGGTTATCACTTAACATCAGGTGAACCGCCAGCTCGTTTGCCACTTTCTCACACACTCATTTCACTGCCTCATTTTTTATTTTAAAAGATGGCAAATGAACTGTTGTTTCACCTCATGTTAAGTGATAACTGTTACTTACGGATATCTGTAACGCCCATGGGGTTCCTTTAAGAAAAGTGGGAGCCAGTACATCACTCACAAGATGAAACGCAAGGGTACATAATACTTTGATGACTGCGTGGCGCGGTTGCCAAGGCAGTGACTTCAGCGTCGGGGGTCGTGGGTTCGATTCCCAGATGGGACAACTATTTGTGTGCTCCACAGGTGATTTCGCATCTGGATGTTTGTCGCTGTGAAATATATTTTTGTTAAACGTCCTCACAACAAAAGATAATGTTATCCTAAAGTAAGGGCAGTGCTTTTTATAAAACAAAACGTTCCTTTCACACCCGTATATTGTATGGTCACGGTACTTGCTCGGATGAGCCTGCCAATTCGTCCAGCAACAAATTGTACCCTAGTATAGCCAAAAACTTCAAAAAACTTACAGAGTAAGAAAGCTGTTTGAAAAAGAACTCTTGTCCCTGAGTATGTGCAAGAACTACTTTTACAATTCTAATATTTTTGATAGTAAATCTTAGTATGGGCAACTAGAAAATAAATTTAAATATTAGACTAATACAAGTTACAATGGACGAGAAATCAACGCTTGAATCCCGAACCGTAACTGGATTTAATAAAAAGACGGACAGAGTTTTATGCGAACAAGTTACAAATATTAAGACCCTTTCAGTTCCTTCTTACAAATAAATCATTTTTATTAGATTTACTATCGTGTCGCGGAGTAGGAACCCTTGTCACAATCTGTTAGCGACCAATATTTCGCTCCTTTTATCTTTTTGCCAGAGATTCTGCCTGCAAATTGCTTAGTGGACAATCCGTTGAAGTTTAGTGCAAGCCGGCCTCATTTTATGAGAATATGCAACTCAGATAAATAATGCAACAGATATTAGCCTGTTTGTGCGGTCTCAATTAACAAGACATCATATTCACAGTTTAACCTTGCTTTACATCTCCGCGTCTTACCATCAAAACGAGGAGTTAGTCAAAAAGTAGCCAACAGTGTGTGATAGAAAAATACCGTTTTTACTTTAAAAAAATACCATTCCCTTATGGCATTTATTAAGACAAGAATTTATTGAACTTCACACAATTGGTGATTTGATTGTTACCTACCAAATACTACGAACATTCCTCTACACGAAAATTTTTGGCAAACAATTGTTGTTCTTTGTATGTAACACTAGCCTGTCATTATTTATTTCAAACATACATATTCAATTTTGCGACTATCCTAAACATATTTTAGATCTTGATTGATCGAGGTGGTGAAAAGGATTGGTTAAAACACCCGAAAGACATCCAACTCATATCACCAACAGTTAAATTAGCAGTTTTATATCATGCTTGCGAAGAGGAGCTTTCAGACGCACGTGACTTGGTATTGATTGTTAGTAGAAATTAATTAAAGTTGTATAATATTATAACAAAATTGAGTAAAATGGTTAAATTTTACCTCGCTACTGTTTTTGTTTCACCGAAATTTCTAAATGACGAACCAGGAGAATTAAAAAAGAAACTTTTCAAGGTAACCCGAGTTTGAACCATTAGAATTTAAAGAAAAACTAAAGTATGTGTTGATTCGAACATAACGACGTTTTAATGGAGATTTGTCTGTTGTAATCTTTAGCTCTTTGCTGGAGATTTATTTGTGAATCTAATAGCGTTTACGATTTGTCGTTTTACAAGTTTCTGAAGAGCAAAAATCTTTTATTTGTTAACTTTTGATAGTATATTAGTGTATTATATAGTAAGGTCGATGATTACGTTTTATTATACTTACCAAGTGACCAGCCCTATAGTCACTATCTCATAGAATACGACTAAGGTATCCTTTATCCCTCTTAAAAGGCGAAAAGAGGATACTGAATTTATGGCTGATCGGGGTAGGGCTTGGTCATACATTATAATGAACTCTATAGGGCTGGCAAAATGAAATTGTCTCGTGATGCGAATTGGGAAAGGTTTATCCTAATTTATGCATATTACACAGGGGCTCTGGGGAATTCCGTAGATCACTGGGTCCCTCCCAACGTATTAAGGGTGATCACCGAGGGGGTTACAGTGGTTAAGAATCCCATATGACCATATATACTGAAAATGAGATACTGAAAATTTCTCACCCAAGACCAAAAAACCTGCATTACAGCTTTTGGTGCGAGTTCATATCACGACTTCACAAAAGTTAAGCATGAAGTGGAAATGTTATCCTTTGCATTTCGTTTGGGTAACTGTTATAAGATAACTGTTGGATGAACTTTTAAAGATAGAAATGAAATCTGCAACTTTTCAGGAAGGTGAAGGTATACATCCGATATATAGCGATCATCACTTAGGTGAACATCAGCACGCTTGCTACCTTCTCACATAAAATAAAAAATCTTCCATCTACGTCTGCTCTATTAGGGTTAAATGATGGTTCAGATTAGTTATCACGATAAAGTAATAGAGAAAATAATGCATAAAGATATTTGAATTACATTTTTATTAACTTGGGAAGTTTCAACTGCGGGATAACATTACATTTTCATAATCGGCTGATAAAGGACACTGAAATGGAAAACATTTGGTTAGTTCAATAATTTATTTTTATTTATTTTATAATTTATTTTTATTTATGTTACAATCTTGCCCTTACTATAGGATAACATTATCCTTTGTTGTAGGGACGTTTTAACAGAATAAATTTCACGTGGACAAACACCCAAATCCGAAATAATTATCTGTGGCTCCCACAAATAGCTGCCCCGTGTGGGTATCGAGCCCACGACCCCCAGCGCGGTATACAAAACCTTGGGAATAGCGCTAGGAAGTCATTCGTGCGTATTTTTAGCTAGAATAGATAGTAATGTTTATTGGATTACGAAAATATGTACTACATGTACATATTTTCGTAATCCTTTACAATTAAAGCTTATTTGTTTATATAGAGATATGTAAACCTTCCTCTCCTTCCTTTGAAGGAGATAAAATATACCATTAGTTAAGTAACCTGTAACCACGTGTATGTCGTAATATCTTTAATTTGAAAGGTTGTATGAATTTTATTATAAAAATACAGAAAAAAGGAAGAATTATAAATTCCACACACCTTGTCACACAAATCTTGTCAGGTCACCAAGCAGGAAACTTCTTAGGTGTTACGATGTCAATTTTAGGCGGTATAACTGGTCTAGTAGAAAATAAAGTTCATGTTTTAATATTTCATACATTTTTAATCTCGAATAGTAATAGTAGTATTGTAGGACGACCCCATGCTAGATATAGCTGGCAACGTCCGCAAATATGCGTGAAGTCGATCGATGTAAAATTTAGTTTACTCAGGGTCGTTCTTCGTGGCAGTCTGAGGAGGAGGTCTATGTCCAGCAGTGGAATCAAACAGGCTGAAACTATGATGATGATGATGATTATGATAGTGATGATGATGATGGTGATGATGATGATGATGCTGATGATGATGGATCTCGAATATTGATTTATTACTGAGTGCAGTAATAGGTCTAAGCCTATACCTAAGTCAACGTAACCTCTGGATATACTTGATAAAAGCCTTTTCCAGTATTCCAAATATATGCAAATATCCTCGCAATGTTATCCGTGACCAACGTGCACGTAGTAAATCAGCGCTTAAAATCACATTTAACATTTTCATTGCTACTGACACTGATTTGTATCCAGGTCACTCGAGTGTAATGAATTAAAAGAGCATACCGACACTGAGCAACCGTGACTCATGGAATGAATTATCATGCCTAAATATTAATTATAATTATTTATTTTAATTTGGCCTTAATTGGCTTTGCACTGCTTCCATAAAATGTGTACGGTGCTTGTTGAAGCTACTTACATTATCTATTTACTGGGTTCAATTTCCTCTTAGGGATCACACGAGTATAAAGTATTAACCTTCATTATTATTTCTCTATCGTTGCTAAATTCGCCTGATGTTAAATATTCTAAACGTTAAATAAGAGAAGGATAAAACTCCTATACTGTTTTAGGATGATAGACATGTGTCAACATTCTTACTTCATTTCGTACAAGTGTTTTTCAGCGTTAACAAGCGGGAACGACTTTTTGCGCTTGAAGGCTGGAAAATTTCTTTTCCTGCGGATAGAAGAGGTTTGAGACTAAGTTTGAGACTAATAAAATAAATATAATAATCAAGAATAAAAATCATAAAATTATAAAAAATTATAAAATTATAAAAAAATAATAAAATGGTAGGGCCACGCAATAGTCTTCGCTGTTGCACGAATGCAAGAATTGGCAGGTCTGTCCGGGTATGTACCACGACCTCACAGAAGACCGCCGTATTATACTTTTGAGTTTCATCCGGTGAAGTGGACCAGGGGAACCTGTATTGCAAATGCCCATTACTGATTTATAGAATTGTACAACTATAACTGTTAACTTATGCCCATGGACGGGCGGTTTTTACCATTTGACCTCAGATGAACCACATGTTCCTTGGGAAACTTTTTACGTAGAAAAATTTGAACATCGCTCACTTTCTAGGGTAGTGTATGATCACTCCTTTTGGGGTTATCTTTTGTTTACACGGTCTGCTGTTCCCACAAACGCATCCTTTCATTAGCTTGCGAGAAGTCGCCGAGAATGTTTGTATCGGTGGTATCCTACAATTATTAAACATTATTTTTAGTAGTGGTTGCGAAATTGTATATGTGAGTTTCGCAATGCTTTAGGTGGTCACCTTGCCACTAGCCGTTGTAGATTTACTACATGATCTAGCAAAATACCTTGTATCATGAGTATTCCTTTTTTAATAAATAGAATAAATAAAAAAATAAGGAGTTTCCTATACCGATATAAAGTAAAAACCTACGAGTATATGCTATGTCCCACTGCTCGATGCCCATATATCCATAGTAATATAAATGCACGTTCCACAATATAATTATTGTATTCAGTTCACCTCTTGTAATCTTTATTTGCAATAAATAATAAATAAATTAATCTCTGTATTCCACTTGGTTAAGGTAATTATTTTAACAAGTAGTCGAGTGGAGCCCTGGGCACAATCTCTTACCTCAACAATAGAATCGAAAGGTTGCGATGCAGTGTAACAGATAGAACGAAATAAAGAGTAATCCACTTTTAATGAACTACAACAATGTACAGTCCGATATATAAACAAGTACTTCGTTATGAAAAAGAACTACTGACGTGATTTTCATATCAACTGTTAAATAATAGGAATACGTCTTACCTTCTTTTCCAAAACACGTTCCATTTCGGTTTATCGGAGTTTAGCGCAAAATGTAAAGTCGATAAACTGTAAAAAGTGAAATGAAATGAACACAACTTCTGGTCCACCAAAAAAATTGAATGGATGTGAAAGCAACTAGTTCTTATGATCAAAATTCGTAATGATATTTTGTTTTACATTGGATTGGTTGTGTCTTGAAAACGCTGTAAATACAACGTAATTTTGACCACTAAACATATCGAACAGTAGATAATCTTAGACATGGGCAAATATATAAAGGTGTAACTAGCTGAGAAAGAAAACTCAAAACAGAAAAAAGAAGGAGAAACTAGAATCAGTCCTTGGTTCTTTTTGGTTTATAGTTTATAATTTAATTCAGTTCTTAAAATAATTTTTAAGATACTCAAATGCTATAAAGTGTTATTGTTTACTAGAAAGTATGTGTATCCCTCGATACACGTACTTTCTCTATCTCTAAATTACCTCTAATTTGATAATTTCTATCCATGAGTTTTAGCTCCAAAAGGTTGCTATTTAACAAGTAAGAATTTAAAAAAAGCCACGATGAGTTAATAAACGTACTGAACACGATTATACGAATTGTTTTACCTTGCATTACTAGTAGCTTCGTCAATCTTTCGTTTTTGAAAAGGCGATCTACTATATGTGATACCCATTTGTTATCAAAAAGGCCTTAGCCCATACCCCCACATTGAAACGTGAAAAGATTTTTGTTACTAAATACAATTCATATGAAGCATGATATTTTATGGTACATTATTTATTTAAAGCATTTTTGTAACATTTTTGACAGTGAATGTATGTCATTCTTCTTGACTTTATCAAACGTCGTTCAGTTTTTCTTTTAAAATAATATTTATTGCTTTTAAGAACTACTTAGAATGTGTTTTTACAAATTCGACTATAAATTACCATTATTTGCAAAAATCTATAGGTTCTCTCTTTTATGTCCATCAAAGTCTATACGTGCCGTAGAAAAAATTAAGTACTATAGTATAAAGAAGATACAGTATAATAGAAAGAGAACTAAACTAGAAGAGAACTAAAGACAGAACACCTGTTTTTGCCTGTTTTACGATTTCGGTGGCACATCCAGTTTCTCACATATAGCCTTAATAGGTAGGTGTAAACCTTCCAATCTGCTCCAATTTTAAGTATCTCGGTGCAAAACTAGAGCAAGATCGAGAAAGATTTTGATGGACTTTGTGAAGAATGATATCTCTGTGAAAGGAAAGGACATTTTGTGCCGACCCCACCTAGTGTGGGATAAGGGCAGGAGAAAGACGAAAGTTAGAGTAGTTATAGCGTTCATTTTATAATAATTTCTTTAACACTCGTGAAGCTATTAATATAAATGCTTTAAAAGTATCTGATTTATTTTTATCAATAAAATACAGTAGAACTTTCGTTAAACTTTTGCGAAAGGAAGATCAAGTTATTAACTAACTGTTACACATGACTCCGTTCGCGTAAGCACAAAAAGTTTGTTCAGTTCGCAAAATTTACAAAAAGTTTATATAGTAATACAAATATTTTAAGAGCGACGTTTACAAGACTTACTTTTCGCGACTGTTTCTCACAAAATAACAGAAAATATATATAATTTCTAGTACATATAATTTTTCAATATAAAAAGTAAGCTCAAACTTTTTTTTTTGCAGCCGTCTAAACAATGTTTTTGCCGAAGAAACCACCTAAGCTATTTCTTAAAAAATAATAGATTCTCCAATAAACTCCAAAAAACTGATCATTAAATTGGATTTTGTTTATTTTAATAGGTTTTAAATTATTCCGTTTTTGTGATATACTTATTGTTGAAATATTTATGTGAATTGGGTAAAAATCTTTTATGTTGACATCACAAAAAGTGGCACTTACGTTTTATTTATTTGTATACTTTTGATATATCGTATCTTGGAAAGGTGACTAGCCGTGTTAGATATAGCCAAAACAGGATTTTTAAAGTATGTATATGTTAAAATGATATAAAATTGACATATAAAAATATAAATAATAAAAGCAGCTAAAAACTCGAAACAAAACAAAATAACCGAACATATAAATTTACCATACAAATTTCTAAAGAACATTCCAAAAAGAGCTTCCAAATATGTATAACTTACATCAACGAATTCTCATTTAGTATAAACAAGTGTGCTTATCCTTTAGATTTGCACGCCCCTTGGACTTCAGGGCAAAGTAGGCCGTCCTAAACAAACAAACATAAGTTTTCCAACATGGAAAAAGTACCGCGCACAGATACATTAGTACTAATAAAATATACAATAGTGTATGAAAATATCTGTTTTTATTTTAAATTAAAATATTATTGAAATTATTGTGCTTTTTTTACCGATTTCAAAAAGAAAAAATTAAGCAATTCGGATTTTCATATTTTTTATGTATGTTCGGGCATATCTTAGTCATGTATACACGGATGTCCAAAATTCTTTTTTTGTTCGAAAGGGTTTCATTCCGAAATGGTCCCATATCAATTTCATATAGATTTGATGATGACTTTCGGAGATAGCAACGGAACTCTTCGAAATATGACAGGATTCGAAATATGACAGGATTAGGAAATCAACCGCGATTACTGCTATCGCATAAATATGCATTGTTTTGCATGTAACGTTGTAATAGTTACGTTTATTATTTTATTTGAAGTCGTTTCTTTTTTTTTAAGAAACTTTTTCTTGTTTATGGGGAAAAGGGGAAAAAGCAGGAGGGTCACCTGATGGTAAGTGATTACCGACGCCAATAAACATCTGCAACAACAGAGGGCTTACAAATGCGTTGCCAGCCTTTTAGAAAATAGTAAGCTCTCTTCTTGAAGGTACCCAGGTCGTAACGTTTCGGAAACAACGGCAGCTGGTTCCACATAGTTTGTGCGAGGCACGAAATGCCTTGAAAATCGCGCTGTTGTTTAACAATCTACTTTTGGTTGGTTCAGCACAATAAGTTAATCATGTATCATGAAGCGTAAAATATCTACAAACTTATAATATAACATTTTCAAGTGTTCAAGCAAAATAATGGTAAGGTCTTGTGGATGGATCAAGCTATCTACAATGATCGCATGGTACAAGATATGAGGCTAACATTGTATAACCAACCATTACCTAGTTAAATTACACATTGCCACCGGGCAGACTAAGTTATCTCAAGTGACCCGATGTATTCGTTACAAGTTTGGGCTAATACGTGAGTGCGTAAAATCATCTATAGTAAAAAAATCACTTTATTTAAAGAGATTTATGGGAAGGCAAGAAATCTAATATTCAAAAAAAAAATATCTAATAACGAAATTCTATAAACTTAATGCCCCGTAATTTTTTTCCATTCATGTAATTGACAATTTAACGTTAAAATAGCAAACCATACACTCGATAGCCCGCATTGGTGGCCCTGTGACGTCGCCTAGAGGGATGATTGATATCCCACCTAAATGCCACCTTCAGCTGTGGTGCAAGGCATATGCTTATTAAGCATAATTTTTTTTTCATTTTAGAGATATTACGAACGCACAAACGTTACTTAGTTGTAAGAGCACATCATCTCTAAAGACCAATTGCAACAACTAGTGTGTTTTGAATATGTTGCAAAATACTAAAAGCAAAATATTTATATTTAAACTACATGGAGGTCTTCTATGAGCTCGTTTTCTCCGGGTAAATAGAAAAACTACTTCAACACTCCGCAACATAAGAAATGATAAAATGAAGAAATGAGAATAAAAAGAATTCCTATTCTACATAAAATATTTAATATATTTTTAGTAATTTTATAATCGCTTAATGTTACACATAGAATAGAGCAGACTATACTATAATATACTATATACATGATATACTTTATTGCAGACAAGGAAATACATAGAAAGAAAATATATGAAATATAGTGTACATGTAGGCGGCCTTATTGCTAGATAGGATTTTTTTCCAGGCGATCTTTCATACATATTAAAATGGATTTATTTATGAATTGCGGTTTATTTTGAAAACAATAAATCAAAATTGTAAATTTAAATCTTAAACAAAAATAAAAATTTGAATGTAATAGGGACAAACGTATAAGATGACTAGTTACTCATAAATATTCAACTAGAAAACTCGTTTTATATTTGTAAGTTGTCATAGAACAGGCTATTTTTGTACAGTTATTTAAGTAATAATTAAATTACAAATGTTTAGTTTTTTTCGCATTTCAGTCTCTGAAAGGCACTTTTTTTCCTAATTTGATTTATTAAAATAATTTCACCTCCGTATATTTTATGTCAACATTCTATTTTTAAGCAATTGAACGATGACAATATTTTCTAATATGTCTTGGTAATGTTACTAGCCAATCCATCATAAGGTTGATAGGAATTACCTTCGCGTCCAAGTAAAAAAGTGTAGCGGAAAGGATTTATTAGAAGGTAACAACTACTGTTGATTAGTACACGACATAAGAGAAATTAAAACCAGGTTTATATTTAGGAATCAATAATTCTATTGGCTCTTAATTAATTTATAGCTTAAATATATACTCAAAAAAGTACACGTTCTAGATTTCGTATTTATTACTGCTTGCGAAACTTAAAGACAGTATGTTAACTCGGTCTCTGTCTTCATGACGGTCTTCTATAATTCCCGGAAATACCTAGAAAAAGTCTCTCGATGAATACAACAGTTGAACGTAATTTTTTGTTATTTTTGTAAAATGAAAAAAAAAAATGTATATCAGAAAATGGACTGCTCCACAAAGTAAACAAATATAATTTTTATAGTTAAAAGTTGGAAACAGTGAAGGCATACAATCGACAATACTTCAATAGACATCACAGAAATATAAGATCATTATTGACGAAACATTTCAAAAGGAAAAAATATCCCAGGCCGAATTTCATTTAATACCCATAATGGTTATAACATACGTAGCTTGCTGTCAGGAAAAGTAATCATTAAAATTCTCCGACATATTTTTTTAGGTTTCCGAATTGATATCTTGCTTTGCATATTATGGTTTCACTGATTCCGGGTTGGATTATTTTCATTTCACCCAAATCAGGGGTCGCTTTTGACAGACCTTTTCAGATTACATCATTTTTCCATAATGTCATTAATTTGAATTGCCGCCATTCATTATTTCAGTCGAATTTAACATCAATAACCGCTATTGATTAATTTCAATAAAAAATCTTCACAATCAATTTGAAATAGACTTAATAAATATTGACGATACATACGCCTTAAATTGAATTAATTATGAAATTAAAAAAAAAAGTCGTAATATGCCACAGAATATGGCAAGTTTTAAAGGGACAATAATCAATTGTATATTCTGCGATTTCAAATTGTATAATTATTTTAACTTTCGTCATGAGGTCGTATGTATACTTATTATAATGTAATAAATAGGCACAAATAAGTAAATGCGAATATTGTTCAGTGTGTATATAAACAGTTTTCACTCCTGTGCCCCAGTATAACTCCGTACTGCCAATGATCCGACCTCATCAAAACAGGAAACTTTAACCAATTTCACTATACAGTCAACCGAACCTTTTGGAGAATACAATTACTTAGGAATCATTTTCAACTCAAAAGGGACATTTGCCACGTACATTAAGGATATTAGAAACGTAGCTGTAAACGCATTATAGTATGCATTC